TAGTTAAAAAGAATTAGATGCATTAGATTATCTAAACTGTACATTGATGATATACAGACTCTGACTTTTGAACAAATAAACAGTATTTTTTGCATAAATAACAATTTATTTGGTTAATTGATATTAAAATAATTAGATATGAATGTTAACTTATTACGAGTTTCATAGAAGAGCTAAATATTGCAAGTGTAATAATATGACAAGCTTTCTATAATTATTGAATGACTGAAAAATATGAGTCTCATATGTAAAATCTTCTTCATTCCTTTGGAAAGTTTTAGAATTCTTGAGATTTTTCATTTATACATTCTCCTGTATTTTAGAAGAAATTCAGAGTAGCTTTCTTAACTGGCCAATAAAATATTCCAGTAAAATTCACAATTTTAAGGGTTGTGTTGCATGCCTAAAGAGAGTCAGGGAAAAACATATTTTAACAAATATATTTAGCATATGGCATCTACAGAGGTCATGCAATCCTTGATATAAAAATTTGGTTTAAATAAACATCAGCGTGTATACATGAGCTGTGGTGGCACAATGACTAGAATGCAGTATTGCAGGCTAATTCTGCTGACTGCCAGCAGTTCAATTTTGACCAGCTCAAGGTTGATTCAGCCTTCCACCTTCCAAGGTTGATAGTGTATGATGTATATGATGGGATATGGAGTGTAGACTACCTCCATAATGGTATACCCCAGGCAATGTTCTGTCTTAACAGAGTAGCTAAAATTCTATACACACAGTGACTGAATTGGATATTGTGTCCCTCATGGTCAAAAACAACAGAAGCAGCAATTAGAGTGCAACAGTTCTTTTTAGAAGAAAAAATATTGGCTAGATTAAGATATTACAGAAAGACATAATGTGATTTTGCTAAATTATTTTATTGGGGTTCTTACCCATCATAAATATACAATTATGGTTTGTAGCCTAGCATCGGTCAGGCAGATATTTCTAAGTGAAGTGTGTGAGTCCTACCACCGAATCCATTTTTTTAAAAAAATCTTGGTTCTGAATTTTGTTTTTCTATACTGAATCCACATACTAATTACCTCCTAGCGGTTAAGAGATGCACAAAATTGTTTCTAGTTACCGTATTTTGTAGATATACACTGTTGATATTAAACTTCTATATTCTGGGCTCTGATTTGAATCCTGGGCTTCAGATTTAAGTGCATTTTAAGCTAAGCAGTTCCTTGGCTCTGTTCCAGCCTGGGCAAATGGCCCTTGTCTTTGGACTCTGCTTTTTAACCAAATCTTCCCACTATAATTGAGCCCGATTTTAAAAGACCATTAAAGTGTTTACCAGCATAACCTGAAGAAAGACTTGAAGGAAGCACAGTAGTTACTTATACGTCTTAAAAATCTGTCAAGTTTTTTTGTCCTGATATATCTTTTATTGTTGCTTGAATATCTGGAAATAACAGAATGCAATTATAGTAAAAAGACACTAGGGCAATATAATGCTATGAAGGATGGTTTCAATTTTTGTTCACTGGATCACAGGGTGAAAAAGAAGTGAACAGAGAATAAAGATTTTGGATATGGTACTCTATAGCAGAAGAAACTCTAAAACAAGCCTGCACAACATGGAGTCCACCCAGCAGCCTTGGGCAGCCCACTGGGTTTTTTAAAAAAGCACTGTAACAAATTCATTGCTGTCAGTTCCCTGAAAGAGATGCCGCTGAGTGTTGCTGCTCTTCCACTACTATAGCCACCAAACAGCAGATCAGCAGCCCAAGTATTCTTTTGAGATCCATAAGGATTTTTAATTTATCAATTTGGTCCTTTCTTCTCTATGGCCTTGCTGTAAAAGATGCAACAAAGAAAGATGCTTTGGCCACTATAAAAAAAAAACAAAAAACCCAAGGCATTCTGGTGACCAAATTACCACCTTTTAAGTTGTGTGAACAGTATAAAAATCATAACTTTTAAATGCATTTTGCAAATACCAGTGAACAATCCTTTATATTTGTCAAAAAACACAAATTCATGTATATTATTTCCTTTTTAAAAATATACATCCATCCTGTCCAGCTGAGCCAGTCATATGGGTCCAGCTAGAATAGATATGTCTCTGAAATTTAAAACACTTCTCTAACCTTTACCCATCACAATAATGGACATTTCTGTAGCTGTCAACTGCATAAAGCAGATAAGGCACCTGTTTCATTATCTGTTTCAATGATTTCTTGTACAGTCAATATCACATCTTTGTGTAATCTAACCTAGAATTCTGTAAGCAGTAATTGGTTACATTTGATTGTAATTTCAGTTAAAAATAGGTTTTTCATTAAAAAAAACTCACTGCTTTCTCAACCTTTCTGGTTTCATGGAACTCGAAAAGAGCAACAAGCTTGGGTTTTTTTTTAATTGCGGTAACAACTTGCAAAAACTCGCCAACCTCAGCATAATGTACAAAGGAGTATAGATTGCAAAAGATTTTGAATGTGAAAGAAATAAAATGTTCTATAACCAGGAACGTTAATTTCAGTTCCCATCAGCTCCAGTTAGTATGTCTCATTTGAGCATCTGGTTGAAATTGTAATCTAAAATACAATATATGAAAGATGCATTGATGTAAGTAGACCAATTCAGGTGTTTTAGCTCTTAAAAAATAGATGTATATTCACATTTATGGTGCTGATGGTCACCATTCATTTCTGAGTGGACAGAAACATCTTGGCATAAAAGCCAAGATTGTGATCCACTTTGTGCTGTGAGCAGATTTAAATTTGTCTGGTACAAATATAATTTCATTTCTTTCTCCAAGCTTTTTGATAAATAGAATGAAAAATATGGGAGGTTCAAATGTTTTAAATAGGTATAGGAAGGAAATGAGAAATGGTTAAAAAAATATTTGTCCTACTATACTTTACTGCTATGAGAATTACTTATCTCACAATGTAGGAGAAATACTTTTCCTTTAAAGACTCAGAATTCACAATCAATACAGATGTTGAATGATATGCTGTTGCTTTTCTTCTTTATTGTTAGAGCAGAGGTCCCCAACCTTTTGGGCACCAGGGACCCGTTCCATGGAGAGAGGTGTTCCTGCAGACCGGAGGGTGCATGACTTTGTGTGCCGCCTGCATCCCACAGATGGGGCTTTGTTTCTGTGGCCTGGTTGCTGGCATGCCGCAGCCCGGTACTGGTCCATGGACCAGGAGTTGTGGACCCCTGTGCTAGAGGACTCCAAATAAAATATTGCTAGGTAGAATTCTGAGCTCCCAGCATTACACTGCAAGAATCCATAAAGACTATAATTCTGTATATAAAAGAAGTGTATGTTGGTGTGTGGCATTGCAAATCAGAATTAATGCAGCAGCATTTCCATCTTAGGGTATGTGATCTAAGCTAGCCATTGCATGTCCCTACAGTCCTCTTTCTGAGTGCCCACCAAGATTTACTTGAAAAATTGTGGTATTTTTTTACATATCATTATAACATTGCTTGCATATTAACCTAATTTATTAAAATTAACTGCTGTTACTTGCTACAGTAATAGTCTTTCCAAACACTTCAGTCTCTTATACTATTATTCCAAAATATTAAAGATTGTTGGCATCTCACCAAAAAAATATTCATACGATACGATATGAACCAATAGTCCTCAGTGATACATTTGCATAACCATACCATATTAAAAAAAAATCAGTTTTCCTGTACTGATTCTTCCTATGGTGCCCAAACATTTTTATAGCTGCCATCACTGTGGTCATAAATGCTGGAAAACTACAGATTTTCATCTGTGAGGGAAATTTACATGCTACAGTTCATTGGGAGAAAAGATTAGCAGAGAGTCTAAGGGCATATTGCATAAAATTCCTGTGAACACCAGTCCTTAAGTAATATAGAATGCCATAGGAAGAATATATTTGCCACGTTTATAATCTAAGCTGAAAATTATTTCTTTTGAAAAATCTGATCTAGTAAGATTGCTGATGAAAATAAATCATTAGTCAGATTTATAAAACAATTGTATCTAAAAAGAATATTGTAGATCTGGAAAAGATAAAAAACAAGGCTGCAAGAGTGTTTATTATATAAGATTTTAATATTTTGCATAAAAAAGGAAGGAACGGCAAATGTATCTCTCAAAATATTAGAATTCTGAGAAATTCAGTCAAGAGAAAAGCATGATATTCAGTCTGATTTGCAAATAGACTATTTATTTTGGTATTTATAGTATATGAGAACATTCATTTTAGCTTGGATGTGAAAGATGGAAATATTATTGTGATACTTTGAAATCTCAGAATTCTGATGTAAAACTAACCAACTAGCGATATACACACCTGCATACACCTTCACAAAACCTATTGGATTCAAAGTAAGAGATGGAAGAGATTAAGGATAATAAATGTCTCTACTGTACTGTCAAAGGCTCCACCAGAAATCTTCAGCAAATCTCAACATCTTTAAAAAGTATCAGAATCAGAACAGCAGAATTGGAAGGGATCTTGGAGGTCTTCTAGTTCAATCCCTGCACAAGCAGGAACCCTGTATCTTTCTGGACAAATGGCTGTCCAATCTATTGCTGGATACCTCTGGTGATGGAGCACCCACAACTTCTGGAGGCAAGTTATTCTACTGGTTAATTGTTCTGTCAGAAAATTTCTCCTTAGTTCTAGATTGAATAACAGAATAACAGAGTTGGAAGGGACCTTGGAGGTGGTTTAGTCAATGCTCTGAACAAGCAAGAGACCCTATACCATTTCAGACAAATGGCTGTCCAGTCTCTTCATAAAAACTTCCAGTGTTGGAGCATTCACCACTTCTGGAGGCAGGTTGTTCCACTGGTTAATTGTTCTCACTGTCAAGAAATTTCTCCTTAGCATGGCTACTATGGGATTCTAAAGTCCCTGGATATTAACACCATCTCTTGGGAACTTCTGGCGCATGATCGACCGACATGGCGCACCTTGGTGTACCAGGGTTGCCAGACATATGAACACAGAAGGACAATCTTGGCACAAGAAAAGCGAGCGCTCCACAAAGCCAGAGCTGCAAATGCTGAATTAACAGTGTCTATATTTCTTTGTTCAGTATGTGGCAGAACATTCTGTGCTAACATCAGTCTTATTAGCCACCTACGGACACATCATTGATGGCCCATAACCCATAAGATGTCAAGATCTTCCTCGAAATCGATGGACGAACAACTGCCTACCGTAGGATTCATAAGTTTCTCCCTCAAAAGCATCAAAGAGATGGAAACCTTCTGTTCATGCAGCTTTTCCTCATAAACAACAGCTACAGTTTCCTGCTCCAGGGCGTTTATCTAGTCTAATTCGTTGCCCTTGTTAGAAAATAAGTCCAAACAGAGCTAAAACATAGGCTGAGGATTAATAATGGACGTTAACACCTGAATGCCCAATGAAATTATCATAAAGAAATCCATCTGAAAGCAACCTTTACTTGGTTTATCGCAGGTTTCATAAACGTTGTTCCGAAAAGAAAATATTGACAAGGTGCGGACATATAGCTGCACGCCAGGTTAACTTGATCAGATCATCATGGTTAGTCATTACTATTTCAGAAAAGCATGCCTGCCGACTAGGACACCACCAGGAAATCAGAGGCGGTGGGAGGCATTTTCTCTTTCCCATCTTTGCTCGTCCAAAGAAAGCAGGAGCGGAGCTCCCTCTGGGCACCGGGAGGCGAACGACAAGCCTCCCCTTCTTCCTGTTCGTCTCCTCCCGACTCCGGCTCTTGCACTAACGATCACCTCCGAGAGCTGCTTTGCAGGGCCTGAGAGCGAGAGAAGGAGGGAAAAACAGCCCGGCGCAGCGTGGCGCACCCGCTTTCCTGTCTTCCAAAGCGCCTGCGCCTTCAGCCCCTTCGCGTGCCGCTCGGGAAACTCCTGCGGGTTGCGGTGACATTGTCGGAAGGAGGGGAAAGGGAGGAGACTTGGGAGGGAGGAGGCGGCGCCGAGGGGAAGAGCGCGCGCCTTGCCTTGCGCCCCGGGCTCGAGCGGCAGCTGCAGCTGCGGGGCAGGCAACTTATCCTCGCGGCGGCAGCGGCTGCTCTGGCGTTTGGGGACAGGATCGGAGCTGGTCGCTCGGCAGAGTCCCGCCATTTGCCGCCGCTTCTCTGGCCACTTTTTCTGTCCCGTGCTTGGCGGGAGTCTGCTGGAAGGAAGCTGCGGACTATAAATAGCTCTGGCTACGGACGCTGTGTGCAACGGACTGGGGAAGGCGCGGCTAACCGTGACGTCTCGGCTGGAAGGGAGGAACCACCAGGTAAAAAAGTCAAATAAAAGCCGGGAGTTTCCTTTGGCCCTTCCTCGGAGGACGTCGAGGTGCGACTTTGAATGAAGAGGCGGCAAGCTGTTGCCGGGATCGTCTAAGCCTAGGCGAAAAGCTTTCCACCTTTGCCCGCCGTCGCTTCTGGATCCCCTTTCAAGTTTCTTCCTGTTGCAGTTTCGCTGGAAGGCAAGTCTGAGGCAGGCGCTGGAGTCTGGGCTCGTGGGAGGGCCGAGGCGGCAGGCGGACCCCCCGCCCCCAAAATCGGTTGAAGCCTCTCCTTTGCGGGGACGTGGAGGCGGCTGCGTTGTGCCGGAGTAGGTCGCGGGCACGGTTTTCAGTCGGAGAAGGAAGGGCAAGCGGGTGCGGGTGTCTCAGCTTAGTGGTTTGCAAAGCTGGTGCCGGTGGGGTTTTTTTTTTTAGTGCCTAGACGAGAGCTTGTTCCCCTTACCTGCAGTTGCTCTTTCCAAGGCGATCATTTTTGTAGCTGTCTCCTCCTCTCTGGGAGGAGGAGAAAGGAAAGGGCGAACGAAGAGGGAGTAAGCCTTGCCATCCTCTTTGATCCTCCGACTGCATGGTGTTTTTTTGCCTCGGTACGTTTGTCCGAGAAAATGCGCCTGTATTGAATCGGAGAAGTGGCGGAGGTAAGCTATTGTCGCGTAACTCTCGCGCTAAAACGAATTAAGCATAAAACTCTCAAGAATGATCCCGAATAAAGCAGGATGCTCCTCGTGTCGGTCCTTTGTAACTGCGTTGTAAAATAATAATAATAAAAAAAAAAAAAAAAAAACAGCAGCCACACACAGCTGCATTTCAGTTCGTTTGGTTATGTATGGGAAAAGAAAGAACAGACTGATAATTCTGAATTCTCCCTACCTTTCTTGCTTGCTCCCTTGATAAAGAGATTTGGAAAAGAATCTGTCAGCACTGCGAGAACTAGAGGTTGAAAGTAGATTCATTCTGGAGAATCTTGTGCAGGGATTCAGGAAGCAGAGTCCATTACTTGGTACATACCTAAATTTATTGAAAATCAACTAAGGGAAAAAAGATACACTACCTTCCAATACTTACATGCTTTCTTTCAGAGAAGTGCTACTACTGATTGCTCTGGAAGGAAAGTTAGAGATGACACTTGATGTGTCATGCTCTAGAAGATCTCTCCCTCTAATCTTACAAGAAAACATTGTCCTGCATACCCTTAGACCTATCCATAAAGAATTTTGTGGCCACATTTTGGGGCAAAGTTGTTAGGTGAACCTCCATTATACAGTGCCCTCTTTGAAAAGCTTCCATACTTTTCAGCTGGAGTTGGACAGCATAGTAATTGAATACATAGTAGTACTTTGTAATCAGGTAAATATATGTTCTGAACTTTACTGAGTATAGATTGCTTAGGGCTTAATGTTGTATTGGGTAGTAAGGGCTATTCCTGGTATTAAAGGACATGGTTTTATTCTGAAATTATGCTGGAAGTAATGGTCTGCAGTATTTCTTTTGTGATTTCATAGCTGAGAGCTGCTTCACTGTAATCTCATAGCTTCTCAACCATACTGGGAAAAATGTTCTTAAAATCATAATAATTTTGAATAATAGAAATTTTCTTCAAAATAAATACACAGGGTCAATAAATTGTTACTGAGTACTAATTGAAAATAAAATATGAGCTGTTTGAAGTAGAAGCATGTCTTTTTGAACATTTTTGTACATGGGATGTTATATAACCATTCATAAATATTCATTTGCAAACAGGAAAAACCCTAAATCGGTTCAAATAGAGGCACACAAATAGACTTATTATAATATTAGTGAATATTATCTTGTATTGGAGTCAAAAGGGGCATGACTCAGGGCATTGGATTAGTCATGCATAAAAAATCTATAGAATTGGATTATTAAAAAAACTATGGAAAGCACACAGAACATGGTTTCTTGAATTCTTTCTAATCCCTTATTGTAAGGTCTATAACAGTGGTTCTCAACCTGTGGGTTGGGACCCCATTTGGGGTCGAACGACCATTTCACGGGGGTCACCAAACAACGCAGTCCGCCATTTTTTCCCCTTTTCCTTAGCTGTGCTACTCCCTTTTATTCTATTGGCTTTTGAAAGCCAATAGAATAGACTCTCTTGAACAGAGTCTAATTCTATTGGCTTTCAAAAGCCAATAGGAATTGTCCAGGCTGTCTCTGCCCTGCTGAGCCCGCCAAAAGTCCCATTCTGCAAATGGTGCTGCAACAGTTGAGTAGTCCTCGACTTATGACCGGTTGGGGGTCACGGCATTAAAAAGGTTGAGAACCACTGGTCTATAAGGTCATGTACCTGGGAGAGAAGAGGAGGGGCTTAGAATGAAGGCTTGGGCAACATTCTGAGCTATTACCAACTTCTCCTTTAGAACAGATTTCTCAACCTTGGAATTTTAAGATGTATGGATTTCAGTTCCCAGAATTCCCTAGCTAGCATTCTGAAAGTTGAAGTCCACATATCTTAAAATTGCCAAGGGTAAGAAATACTGCTCTAGGAATACATTAGCATGCAAGGATATTATTTTCCTCTGCAACCTCAGGATTTTGCCCATTTTCAAACTTAATCATCTTTTTGCTGCTTCTTCCCCCATTCTAAATTTGGTCCCATTTTGTTTAGTTATAACACAACTGTAATATTAATAGGTAAAGTTCCAGCCTCTTTATCCGTTTACATTATCTATTGGATTGGAAAGTATACAGGTAGTCCTCAAGTTACGACCACAATCTAGCCCATTGCTAAGCAAGGCAGTTGTTAAGTGAGTTTTCCCCATTTTATGACCTTTTTACCACAGTTAAGAGAATCGTTGCAGTTGTTAAATGAATCAGATGGTTGTTAAGCGAATCTGGCTTCCCCCACTGATTTAGCTTGTCAGAAACTGGCTGGGAAGGTTACAAATGGTGATCACATGATCCTGGGACAGTGCACCTGTCCCAAATACATACCAGTTTCCAAGCATACAAATTTTGATCATGTGACCATGGGGATGCTGCAACATTTGTAAGTGTGGCAGTCAGTCATAAATCATTTTTTTTTCAGTGCCATTGTAACATCTTTCCCTCTGGAGTGCAGTTGATCCCAACCCTCTCACCTTCTGTAAGAGTCTAAAGAGGGGCTTTTCAACCTTTTCATCCATTGTACTATTTTTAGGATATGGCAATATCCGAGTACCACCAGTCGCCTAGCAAGATGTCAAAAACGTGATGACAAAAGAAAAAAAGTGATGAAGTACAGGTAGTCCTCGAATTACAACAGTTCGCTTAGTGACTGTTCAAAGTTACAATGGCACTGAAAAAGTGCCCCCCAAGCCACAGCCGAGCAAGACACCTGCCTGCCCACCTGGCGGCGCTCTTCCTCCTGTCCGAGGTTTTCATTGTTGTGAGCATTTCTGTTGAGGATTGGCAGTGGGGGTGGGATGGGGTGGTGTTTGGTTTTTATTTCCCCCCATCTGGGATACTGACCCTGGGACACTGTGACAGTCATAAATATGAATCAGTTGCCAAGCATCTGAATGTAAATCACAAGACCCTGAAAATGCTGCAACATTCCAGCTGATCGGCGCTTCTTCTGGGCTGAGCAGAAGCGCCAGGATCAGCACCAAGCTCCAGCTGGAGCCTGGTGCTGATCCTGGCGCTTCCACTGAGCCCAGACAGCCCTGAAACACTGATCCTGGTGCTTCTGCTGAGCCCTGACAGCCCTGAAGCTCCAGCCGTCTCTCGCTCAGTCTTGTGCTGTGCTGCCACTGGTTCAGCTCTTTCCCCTCCCCCGCTACTTTTCTAGGATGGTCACGTACCACCTGCCAGGTGCCAATGTACCACAGGTGGTACCTGTACCACTGGTTGAAAATCCCTGGCCTAAAGAACAGGCTCTGCCAATTGGCTTGGGGTTCCAGTGGGGGAGCATCACGGTGGAGGTTGTTGATCGGTTAACAACAGATCCCACCTCTACCCCCATTCTGTTCCCTCATTACTCATATTTCAATTGGGTTGCTGTATTTGGTTCTGTGTAGTATTTTATTTATGCTTTTATCTTTGTACAGTTTTTATTGTTTATGACTGAAAGTGGCCCAGAGTTACCTTGAGGTAAGATGGGTGGCCAATAAATGTTATAAATAAAGTTAAATAAATAACCTTTGAATGGTTGTAAGTCGAGGATTACCTGTAAACATTATTAATGAGTTTCTGGATTTTCTTGTGGAATGCAAATAAGCAGATATTTTCTATACAGGACTATATTTTATATAGAACTCTAAATTTTAATTCTTAAATTGGATACAGTGAGAAGATGCTAATGCAAAGAAAGGGAAATAGGATTTGAAAGTTCTGGGATTTCATTGGGAGTAAAATGCTCTTTGGTACATTTGTTAAGATTTTCAGAAGAAAAAAAATTGTCTACATATTTTCAAATCTATCACAGGAATTGTGCAGCTTACATAGTCATCCTGTTGACTGTGGGAACTGTAGCTCATAGGATACATTGTTGTGTGTCTCTGAATATAAATCTGTATCACTGTCTATATCAGTGGTTCTCAACCTTTTTAATGCCGCGACCCCCCAACCGGTCGTAAGTCGAGGACTACTCAACCGTCGTAAGTCAAGGACTACTCAACTGGTGCAGCACCATTTGCAGAATGGGACTTTTGGCGGGCTCAGCAGGGCAGAGACAGCCTGGACAATTCCTATTGGCTTTTGAAAGCCAATAGAATTAGACTCTGTTCAAGAGAGTCTATTCTATTGGCTTTCAAAAGCCAATAGAATAAAAGGGAGTAGCACAGCTAAGGAAAAGGGGAAAAATGGCGGACTCCATTGTTTGGCGACCCCCGTGAAATGGTCGTTCGACCCCACAGGTTGAGAACCACTGGTCTATATCTACATAAATATCTACATAAATATAGATATGTAGTTTGTGTTTAGAGAGGGGAAAGAGAATAATGAAGAATATCTGAAGACTAGTCTTAGTGTAACTTTGTCCAACAAGATGCTCTCTAGCTGGTTTGAATTATGTCCTATAATCTCTGGTCATAATAACCAAAAGTTCCTTTATGGATATCTGTCTAAGTCCATATGATATGTGTGTATGCCCATCTCCTTGCTACCAAAGCTCCAGAGTGAGACAGAGGTAGCATTAAGAGCATTGTGAGGCTTAGTTTGGATTAGGTCTGCATTCTTGT